TGTAAGGCAATAATAAGATGAAAGTATCACGAAATTATTTGAATAAACCACATCGCATATATGGGGGGCGAATGTCCTAAAGAGGGGCGATATTCCTAGGGTATTCGCCCCACCCCCCTGGGAGGCGATATTTCTAGGATATTCGCCCCCGGGGGCGATATTCCTAGGAATATCGCCACGTTTTGAGGGGGGCAATTTTCCTGCGGGGGGGCGACCTTTTTAAAAATTCTATCTTGTCCCTCCCAAAAATTTGAGTTTGCCCCTCAAATGCCCCCCCCCCCAAATTTGGAAGCCTGGCGCCGCCACTGATTGCAACAAGTCTGATAATTTCGACAAGGTTGTTACAAGTTGTCAACAAGTTGTTCCAAACCTGTTGACAACTTGTGATAAGCCGTGCGACTACATCTTGTCACAGAGTAGAGACATACAGAGACGTAACTAGTGTACCCACTTTTTTTGTGCGCATGCTCGGCAAGTTACTAGATGCATATGCATGCATCTGATTGGATGACTACTTGATAACGACTCACTTTAAACTTGCTGAGCACGCGCAGTTGATCATTTTTCGCCCGGTCGCCTCAAAAAAAAGTGGGTACATGATAACGTAATCTTCCGCAGTGTTTACAACGGTCAGTTACGTCTCTGTATGTCTTATCTACTCTGTGATCTTGTTAACAGCTTGTGAACAGCTTATGACGTGACGCGCTTGGCGCGCGAGTAGCGAGTCAATTCGCTCCGTAAAATTATCAGTTTTCGACCCTATTTCTACCACCTTTTGGGTTAAATTTATAAACGAATTGTGGATAAAGTGTTTATCTTTGGGAAAGTAAAGTTGGTGCGGTAAAATTTTAAATATTGCTCTGTATTTTTTTGAATTATTTTTCAAATTGCAAGAGATTTTACAACTGGTTTATGCGCATGCGCAAGCTGGACGGTTGAATTTGGCGTGCGCATACGATTACGTGATACGCTTGCGCGCGTGATTCAAAAAACGATTTTACGAACTGTGTTCGACTCGAGCGCGTGCGGAATTACGGTCATATACTGGAACAATTATATGAATAATTAGTGTCTTAATTATAACGTTTTGGAAAATACGAATGAAAATGCATAAAACCCACCAAACTTTCGCCAAAGTAGCATCATTTTGGACTGTGTGTCTCGTGGTGTCTTTCTTGCTGTCAACAAGATCTAAACCTGCTGTGAACATTATCGAAAATGCTACTGGAAAATACTTTCTTATTTCCTCGGAACTTGCCATCTTACCAGACAAACTGTGTTTTATCTGGGCTTCTACGCGTGATAGAGAGTTACGAAAGTTCGCTCTTCCCGACAAACATCGTTACGGACTGGAGTTTCACATATCTCTCAAATGTTCTCACGCTGTGCTACTTTTCTCCTTGCTGGCGACATAGCGACAAACCCAGGTCCTAGTCGGTTTAATTCAAATCTGAATACCAGAATGCCTTTGAAATGTCTTCTAACTAATGCAAGAAGTTTAAAAAGTCTACACAAACAAGATGCGGAAATAAACAATAACATCCACCGTTTTCAAGATCTGGTTTATTCAGAGGACAGTGACATTGTGTGTGTGAACGAAACATGGCTGAGTAGTGATATTCTAAACAGTGAGATTCTTGACGAGCGCTATGAAATATTCCGAAAAGACCGAGACAGCAGAGGTGGCGGTGTACTTGTGGCAGTAAAAAGCGAAACTTTTAAATCTATTCGCGACATTGAAATAAATCACAATCTTGAAACTGTAGCTGTTGATATTCTCACGAACTCGCATTCACACCTACTTGTTTGTTCCTGCTATAGACCCCCGAACTCCAACGGCAATTGGCTAACATAATTTAACAACTTTCTCGGTGATATTCGCAACAACTATGATGACGTGATCCTCGCGGGTGATTTTAACTTCCCAAACATCAATTGGCAATGTGACGCAGACGTCGCAACTGAAGGTCAGAGCCACGAGTTCTCTGAAATTCTGAAGGACTACTTTCTATCTCAGATAAATACAACTCCTACTGGAGGAAACAACGTGCTGAACCTGTTAATTACAAGTCTACCTGATAAAGTAAAAGTAAAAGAAGTCCTTACACCACAGTCATCTGGAATAGTCACTGACCACAACGTCCTTTTGTTGGAAATTGAAATCAACCCTGCTAGACCACCGAAAACGAACAGAATGGTTTACGACTACCAAATGCAAATTTTCACGGACTATACGATCTGCTATTGATTCGCAAAATTTGTCCGACGTGATCTCGGAAGTTGAAGACATCAATCAAGCCTGGGTCTTGTGGAAAAACGCATTCATGAACATTGTTGCGGACTTTGTCCCGATGAAAAGGGCAAAATCTGGACGAAACGCCCCATGGCTTACCGGTGAAATTCGGCATCTACTGAAGAAAAAAGAAACGGTTCGGCGCAAACTGGCTCGGTTTCCATCCAATTACCTGCAAGAAAAATTCAAGAACCTTCGCGCCCGAGTCAAACTCCTTCTCAAAGAAAATCGGCAACGCTTCTTTGATAGTCTCGAGGAAACCCTGCAATCACGTCCTAAACGTTTTTGGAAATTGTTTAAACTAAATTCCAAAACACGCACGATCCCGCAGACTGTTTCGTGGACGAGTGAAAACGAACAAAAAATTGCGGACAGTTCAAAAACCATCGCTGAACTTTATAATAGTTACTTCGCCTCGGTATTCAGTAATCACCAGAATACGCAGAATGATCAAGAGGGCACAAATGAGAACGACGAACCTAATATCGAAGAACTAGAAATAACCCTATCTGAGTTAGAAGTCCTCTCCGCATTAAAAGCTCTAGACCCAGATAAAGCACTTGGACCAGATGGTATTCCCAGTCGCATTCTTAAAGAAACAGCACAACAAATTGCGCCATCGCTAACTCTGTTGTTTAATAAATCCATCGGTTCCGGGGTAGTTCCTGACGAGTGGAAGTTAGCAAACGTGGTTCCTGTCTACAAGAGGGGAGAGAAAGAAGATGTACAAAATTACAGACCAATCTCTTTTCTATGTATTGTGTCTAAATTGCTGGAGAGATGTGTGTTGAAACACATCTGGGAACATTTACGTGTGATCCTCAACGAGTGTCAACATGGTTTTGTACCGGGCAAATCGTGCACTTCACAACTCATTGGCGTTCTAGATAAGATTGGATGATTGCTCGACCGAGGAGAGCAGATAGACGTCATATACCTAGATATGTCCAAGGCATTTGACAGGGTGAACCACGAAATATTGATAGAAAAACTACGCCATCTAGGATTCAAGACCAACCTCCTCAGATGGTTCAAATCATACCTTTATCATCGCCGTCAACAGGTGACCGTCCTTGGGGCAACTTCACCCACCTTGCCGGTAACGTCTGGTGTTCCCCAAGGTTCTATCCTCGGTCCTGTACTTTTTCTGTTGTACGTCAATGATTTACCTGACAAAATCTCCTCATCATCGATAGCTGCCTTCGCAGACGACACGAAAATCTTCAAGCGAATTTCAAGTATAACTGACAACATCCACATGCAGGAAGACTTGAATAGCCTAGTGCAGTGGTCTTGTTCCACTGATCTTACGTTTAACCCAACCAAATGCAAAGTTCAGACCATATCGCGAAAAAGAAAGCCAATCAAGACCTCTTACACCATGGGCGACTCAGTCTAGAACATTGCAGTCATGAAAAAGACCTTGAAGTCTGGATATCGTATGACCTGACGTGGAAGAAACATGTGCAGACGCAAAGTGCTAAAGCCAACAAGATCTTGGGCTATGCAAAGAGAACAACACAACGCATAGGAAGTGTCAGACCTAGGAGAACAATCTATCTGACTGTTGTTCGTGCACATCTTGCTTATTCATCTCAGGTCTGGGCCCCTCAAACTGTGGAACTGATCAAAGAAATAGAACGAATTCAACGGCGTGCCACTAAATACATACTTCAACTACCATATCGCTGTCCTGACACTTACAAAGAACGACTTATCCAGACAGATTTACTTCCACTCTCCTATTGGCATGAATATTTGGACATGGTACTAACAACATGACTTACACAGAGAAAGCACTTTTACCGACAGTCAAAGAACCAGGAAGGTCAACAAGATCCAGCAGCCGAGTCGACGGCGCCATTATGTTAGAGGAACAGCTGTGTCGAACTTCTACTTACGCTAGATCATATTTGGTTCGATCGAAAAGGGTGTGGAATGTTCCGCCAAAGGAAATACGAAGGAACACAACGTCTCTGTCTTCCTTCAAACACTTGTTGAAGGAATATTACCAGAGTGCTTTAAAATCAACTTATGACTCTGAAGATGCACGGACATGGAAGTCAATTTGTGTTAAGTGTGGCTCTGCCCGCAGTCTTCTGTCTCTTCCTATGTGCTGTATATGTTTTAATGTCTGTATGTCTTTATAAAAAGGTACGTTTACGCGCTGCGATTTTTCGTATGCGGTTCGTATTTTGGCGTATTAAAATGAGTGCTGGTGCCATAATTCATAAATTACAAATGTAGCCAGCTTACGCGTGTTTATCATATGACATACGCCAGAGGGTGAATCGTACGCGGTGGATCGCGGTGTGTAAACGTAGCTTTAATGTTGTTAATGTCTGTATATGTTTGTATGTTTTGTTGGCAATTGTAATCGTTATTTATTGTTAGTTTATATTAAACTTGATGTATCATAATGGATCCGCAGTAAATGGCCGTAGCTGATGCGGTTTCCAAGCCTGCATGTTGAGGCAAAGTGTAATAAATAAATAAATAAATAGATTTTGCAAGCTCATTATAAATTCCGCCAGAGTGTTAGCCAAACAAAGTGACGTCATAGACGTTGCATACTGATTAATTTGGACACCTATGTTTGCATACTAATTACTTCCGCCGCCAGATGGGGGTCTTTTACTACTCTCATGCCGTTCGTGTTGTCAAAAACGTCGCTTGCATAAGCTCGCTATTTTATAATTAAAATAAAAAGTGTACTCGAGGACTATGTTCTCTGTAACCATTTTATTTATAGTTTCTTGATCATGCATATATGCGCGCACTAGTGTAAACTTCGCGCACATAAAACGTCTTTACATGCGCGACAGAACTTATCCCAATCCCTATTTACTTATTTATCATTTATAGACCTTCCGCTCGGGGGATTTGGCGTAATATTTCCCGAAGTGATGATATTTTCCAAGGGGCTTTGCCCTGAGGAAAACATCATCACTTCGGGAAATATAGCGCCGAATCCCCCGAGCGGAGGGTCTATAAATGATCATTATACGTACCGAAAGTTAAAGAACTCACTAAGTTCAGAATAAACTTTAAAACTCGCTGAATATTAACTACGCGATTACAATTTTTAGTTTCTGAGTTTTTAACGTTTCCTCTTTAAAATATTTGACATACGTCTTGAAAATCTTTTGTTAAATCAAATCTTCTGTACGAAATTACGAAATTACAAACAACAGCTCGCGAACGCCATATTGTTTCAGAGCGTGGTGTCCACGCGTCACGCGTGAGCGTCGGATACTATAATATCCCACGGTGGGTTTGCCGTGTGGGATATTATAGTATCACACGCTGCATTGCGAAATCATGAATTTGAGTGAAATACCGTAAAAAATCACATTATCAAATGCTGTGTTTTCATTGGAAAATTTGAATTTGAGATATATATATATATATATATATATATATATATATATATATATATATATATATATATATATATATATATATATATATATATATATATATATAATAATAACAGTCTTTATTCATACTCAAGAACACCCGTCTGTGAGTTTACATTATAAAAATATATAAGATAAAATTATTGATATCTATAAGGTAATAACTAGATATATACAGTTATGGATAAAAATATTAATAATGTTAAAAAGGTAAAGGTTAAAATTGGTTAAACAAAGTTAAACAAACATCGATTTACAAAAGAACTTTTAAATCGCTCTGTTCTCACTAATGGAAGTTCAAACTCGTGTCCCCTTGGCCTAAGGTGTCTATTTAATTTATCTGCATAGTAAAAGCTCCTGTAGTGCATTATCTTTATTATGTATTACTTTATCCCAAAGTTTCTTGTCCCTTTTGATGCTTATCTCCTTAATATTCAATTTTTCCGATATGTAACCATTTCTGTGAGCGCAATTGATGAATTTGTCTATTTGACTAATGTATTTATTGAAGTATGCGCCTCCCCAAAGTTCTATGCCGTAAGTGATTATAGGCATAATTAAAGTGTTAAACAGCATGTCCAGTTGTTTGATTGGGAAGCCATAGTATTTACAGACACGCATTATGTACATTCTTGCACTGGCTTTTTTCAACATTTCATCAAAATGCAAATCCCACTTGGAAGGGAGATCCTGTAATGTAATTCCTAAAAGCTTTAACCACGTCCTTCGTTTAATAAATGGAAAAGGATCAGGCAACAGCGTAGGGATATTTCTCCTAACAATCATTTCATACGTCTTTTCCATATTTAAGGACATTCGATTATTTTCAGACCATGTTTGTATACTGTCCACTTCGACTTGGGATGTATCTCCGTTTTCATTCCCTGGTACTTCTAATGTCATGTCATCCGCGAACTTAACTAACTGGTTTATGGGGTTAACTGTTTTGATGTCATTCACCATGATCGAAAAGAGGACAGGACCCAGAACTGTTCCTTGGGGAACACCTTGATTAATGTTCAAGTATTCAGTTTCTATTCCATCAACCACTACCCTCTGTTTCCTATCCTCCAAAAATCTAATCAGCCAATTAGTAACATATGGGTTGATGGGGAGCTTCTTAAGCTTCTCACATAAAATATCGTGTGGAACGCTATCGAATGCTTTGCGAAAGTCAAAAGATAATACTCTGACATATTTTGCATCTCCTTCTAACCATCTTAACCATGTGTGTTGGCACTTGATCAGAGCCATAATCGAATTGTGACCTTCCTTGTATGCAAACTGATCTGAATCAATAGCGTGTCTTGTAACATGTGCTATCTCAGTTTTGAACACATTTCTTTCAAATAATCTCATTATAATATCTGTTAAAGAGATTGGTCTTAGTTGATTAAGAGAGTTTAAGATAGATTCTTTAGGTACTGGTAGTACATTTGCATGTTTCCACATTTTAGGAACTTTGCTAAGTTTCAATGAAGTGTTAAATATATTTGTTATGGTAGGAGCAAGCTCAAATGCAAATTCCTTCCAAAACCAGTAAGGTAGATCATCTGGCCCGGATGCTGTTCTTTTTAGATTTTGTAAAAGGTGTAGAGTAGTATTTATAGAGAGCGAAGGAACCCTGGTGCCATCAGGGATCTCGACAGGTTCTGGAGCCGCGTACTGAGGATCCGAGTTTATACTTTGAAAGTATACATTTATCTCACTAGGATCAAAGGCTGCACTGACAGATCGACTCCGATTATTTCTTCCTGTAATACTGTTCACATTTGACCACCACTGTTTTGATCCGGTTTTCTGATTTTTGTTCTCTTGTTTGACGGCATTTAACTGGTTCTCTCGAATTAGCTTGTTT